AACCAGGGCCCTCTGGCGTCCCAGGCCAGCTTTTAATCAACACAACACTTGGTCGGCCCTGAATATTTATCTTATGTGTATATGTTTTATTGCTGCCAGTCAGATGCCCTGACAAAGCCTAGTCCTGATTGGGAATTTTTGTTTGTTTGTTTATTTGATTTTATGAGTTTAAATATTGGATTGTCAGAAAAGTCATGCATGACACATTTTTGCACAAAAAACAGAAAAAATACATCATGACTCTTCCAACAGCCCAATAATATTATCTTTTGTGAGAGTTGTTAATACCCAGTATAGTGCTAAAAATAATATACTAATATAACTATATTGATAATCTCAAATCCCTAATTCCTAGCTACTGGGCAGCCCATGGCCAGGACAATGTCTTCCTGGTTCTGGTCAGTTCTCTTTCCTCATCTTTCTCACTCTCTCCTTTGGCCCCGTAGTCATTTGTGCTACTTAAAGTCCAGCTAGTTAATTCTTTGTATAAGTACTAATGTACTAACTGCAGTGAATGTCTAATTTAGAATTGTTCAAAGTTCGATGTTAACAGGAGTAATTACTATGTGTTTCTTTAGCTCTGTTTTACATCCTTGACTTCCTAATCTTTTGCACTGTCAGTTGCCCTTTGCTTCAGTATACTGATTCTTGCTGTTGTAACTGATGTGCGTGTGGGTACACTGAATGATCGTGTACAAACTGTAAGTACTTACCTGGAATGACAATTTCCACAAGCTAAAATTCCACTTGCCAACCACCATATTTTATATATGGAGGGATTTGGTATAGTATCTTCCAGTTCACATTGTGTAATTACTCTAGTGTGGTAGTAATGACTCTAAAAATAATTGTATTATCGCAATGAAAAGAAAGGGAACCTACTGGGAATAGGAGTCATCACCAAAAGCTTTATAAAAAAGTGGGACTTCAACTGAAGCTTGCTGCATAAAATGCGTATGAATGAGTGAAAATGTGAATAACATTACACACCAGAAAAAATAATTAATGAAGATATAGGAACTATGGTTAAGGCAAATGATTAAATTTCTATGCCTTATCAGGTAGATTTGAGCTCGATGGTGGAAGATTTTGAAAATCAGATTGATTATTAAGTAGAATGATTGGGAATCAGGAGATATTAAAATATTTTTGAACAAGGGCATAACAAAAATAGTTCTGCTTAATAAACATTAACCTGGTGAAAATGAAGTTCAGTGAGTCAGAAAATCTAAAATCTATTACTGAACCCAAGATGTGAGCTGAAAGGCCTTTTATTTGAGAGAGGGGAAAATGTTAGGAATGGGAGTCATTTTTTATAAAAATTTTGAAATTTAGTTTCTACCATTACATGACATTAAGAAAAGGATATTTGCATTTTGGTAATTAGGAACTAGATAGTGACATTCAACTTGGAAGAAATAATTCTTTTGAGGAGATAGAAGGAAGAAAAATCAAAGAATCTCAGAGCTTTATATGTCAGATCTGAAGCTAGTTATTTCCATTTGATTTGTGATTTTTCTCAGCAACCCTTCAAAATTGGTACTAATTATCTTCATTTTTCCAAATGAGGAAACAAAGACTCAGATATTATAAAAGATATTCAGAGTGACACAGTTAAATAATTAGAGGCAGCAAGATTCACACACGGGCTTGTCTGTCTCTAGGCTAGTTCTTTCCATGAGAATTGGAGAAGTTAATTGTTTGCCCACAGTGCTCTGTGACTAATTCCCTTGCTTACTGGATAATATGTTCATTATGTGCCTCCTGTAATTGGGACTTGAAGGCAAGCACTCTGTGTTCATAGTACTTAGAACTGTGCAAAGCAAATAGTAGGCATTCAATAAATAATTTGAAACCTACAAAAATAAAGGAAAACGCAAATACACAGGTTCTAGCACTGGCAGTAGAAACCAAGCCTCTCAACTCACATTTCCCTTATTTGTCACAGCTGACCACAGTCCCTTTTCCTTGGGTTTCCAAACTAACATATGTGCCCCCAAATCCCAACCAATATACAAAACGAGTAATGATGCTCAATGTGAGTGGTTTGTACACCAAGTGGCTTACTCCATGAATGATACTTGCTTGTAGACAATGCTGATGTAATCTAAAAGACACCAAGGAAAACCTGCTGAGAAATAACTTTCTCCTCCACTTTTGTAACTGTCATTCCTTTAAAGCAGTGATAGTTGGAAGAGTAAATGTGATTAAACATGGTGTTACCTCCCAGCCACCATAACCCCTTCCTGAGACCTAGTAATGTGTGTATCTGGATGGCTTATGCATTTGGTTGACTCTTGATTTTTATATACTCTTGTGAGGATTTCATTTTCCTCCTCATTATTTGGCACGTGACTAAACAAATTAGTGGTCAAAGCACAAAGATAGATTTTTGCATGATGGTGTGATACTTCCCCCCAGAAAGAATGTTCTGCCCTTCATATGTGTTTCTTTTACATCTGGGAGCTGATGGGACTCATTGTCTTTAATAATTTGGGCTGTGGAGCAACCAGAGACCACTGTCCTTTGAGTTCTGTTGCATGCTTTGAACGCTATATACTACTATTTTCCCAGTGGACTCCACACGAAGATTTCACTACCCCATTTACTGTGACATTGATAAATGAACCAGTTTCTTCTCTTCTGTCCTGAAAAACTTAAGTGGAAGAAAGTTCGCAGACCCTTTTTATCTTTTCATATAACATTCGTACAGACTCTCTACCAAAGATAGTTTTCATTTTGCATCTTCCTTTTATTATCATCTACAAGTTCGTAATACATCATTTTCCAATGATGATTTAAAGGCAAACCATGTGGTTTTGAGGCAGTGTATATAACATGTTCTTTGTCATTCAGAATTCTGCATTCTATTGCATACTGTATATGTATATATGTATGTGTATGTGTATATATGTGTGTGTGTATATATATATATATATTAATAGTTAATGTTTAGTACAAACTTAAAATGTACCTAGGTATTATAATTATTGTATGTGTCTCACTTCAGATAATTCAATCTTATGAAATATTTATTGTTATCCTCATTTTATTTTTAGAGCAGTTTTAGGTAAAAAAAAAAAATTGAACCCAAAGTAGAGTTCCCATAATGCTCACACATCTTCCTACCACCCTTCACATAGTTTGCCTGTTATCATAAACTTGCATGAGTGTTGTATACTTGTTACAATTGATGAGCCAATACTGATACATTATTATTAATTATAGTCTATAGGTTACATTAGGGTTCACTCTTTGTGTTATATATCCTGTGGGTTTTGACAAATGTGTATTGCTATGCAGAATAGTGTCATACAGAATAGTTCCACTCTTCTAAAAATCCCCTTTTCTCCACCTATCTTATTTTTTTGTAATAGAGAAAATTCTAGCTGAGAGATTAAATGATTTTCTAAGGGTCACATAGCTACACAAATATGGAAGCTGTTCTGCCTGCCTAGAATGAATACTCTTAGCTCATATGTTAGATTGTCTGATTCAGTACAGTTATTTACATTTAGGGAATCCTAACTTTGTAAGATTCTTTAAGATTCTTGCTAATTTTTACTAACTTCATGAAAATATAATATGTGTATGAAGCATTTTGCCTGTGTTTTCCTTTTTTTTCTTTGAAATTAAATGCTGTGAGAAATATTGTAGGGATTTAAAATTTGAATTATTGGATATTTGATGAGACTTGTGAATTACAGAGGAGTGGACTGGAAAGTAACATTATTAAAATGAAAGAAGAAATGCAAAAGTCAACTGTGTCTTCACTGTGTTAACACTAGCCATTGGTGACAGAGGCTGTAGGCTAGGTCCTACTTGCTAGGAAATGCGTAAATAAAGGATTTAGCAAAAGTGGATTTTTTTAAATGAATGAATAAACAAAAAGGAGGGGGTATATGGAGAAATGAGTCAAAGTTGCATGGAATGTAGAATATTAGGTTAATTATATCCCTCTAGCTTTGGAAGATTGATCTCCTTAATAGTGGTTTTAACAATCTATGTGAAGAAAGAAAACACATCATTTGAAGGTCATGTGGTAGATAGTGTATAAATGAGAAGGAACAAGCAATGAAAACCATTTTCCTTTACTTTGGACCACAGATTCTGGACGCCACCCAGGGTCTTGCTGCCACTAGCAGTCAGCATGGAGATATTCATTCCAACCTTGCAGGCCAAAAGACAACTATTCTAGGAAAGTCCTTCTTGGGCTGCTGTCCTACCTCCGGCCACCCCTTTTTGTTATCCTGTAGGCAACAGTGATTCTGAAGGAATAACCACATGAAGAGTGTATACTTTTAGGACCTGTCTGGATTATGACTTTGTTTCATGAAAAATCAGTTTAGTGCATATAAGCCTTTCCCCCTACTTTTTGCTTATTATCTTCTGAGGATGATGGTAATGTCTATTTGAAACTGTATTTAGGAAGATGATCTAGCTTTAGATGAAATCCTGGATTAGCAATATTTTAGTCCTGAATGATAGTGTAAGGATAAGCAGTGGTTGTTTGAGATTCAACAAATTTGACTAGTTTCCTCAATATATAAAGTGAGCCATTAGAACAGAATCATCTCAAAAGCTCAAGTGGCCATAATCCTTTAAAAGGAAGAAGAGTAAAAAAGAAGCCAATTGAAGGGAGAACATAAAATAGAAAATGATGTTTCTTGCTGTTCCTTCAGACTATCTTATCCTTTCGGTTTCTGTGAAACCATCTTCCCCCCACACACACTTTTTTCTCTTGCTTCTGTGGTCTCTTCTTTTTAATCTCTTTGACGAATTCACTCTCATTGGCTGTTCTTCTAATCTTGGTGTTTCCCACAATTCCAACTTCAGTCTTCTCTCTCCACATATTCTCCTGAATCATCTTTGTTTAGATTAAAAAAAAACAAAAACATTTTTTATGGTGATTACCAAGTAGACACTAGTCTACTTCACGTAGGCCCAGGAGATGAAGACAAGATCTGCTGCTCAATCATCCATTTTCTCTGTTTTTCAAGGGTCGTAAGAGTGAGGCTGAAAAGTTCTTCTTGAAGGCTATTGAGTTGGATCCCACCAAAGGAAACTGTTACATGCATTATGGTGAGTGGTTGACAGTTTTTTCCATGTCCCCCACATTTCCTGCTAATGTTGATATGAGATTTCAATTTTGTGGCAAGGAACATTTTGGAAGGACGTTGACTTTGTTGTTGTAGATTTAGCCTCATTCTATAGTCTTGCCTTCTTGTTCAAACCAGTCATAGTAAAGAAGGCTATGCTTTATGTTTTCCTTTAGTAATTTTCATAGGACTTCACTGGGGAAGGCATTTTCACAGTTGTTTCATTCAAGGTCAGTGTGGAGTTGAAATGAGGTCTCATCAGGAAAACATCTTCTGCCTTGCCTGATGTATATAGTATGTAATCCAAATATTAGCTCTCTTTTCATTCTAAAAGGTAATGTATTGCTCATTGAATGCATCATTTTGAAGTTTTAGAGGCTCATATTTTGGCCTCAAAATCTTGCTTTCTGGAGGATAATGGATGTACACCAACTTTTACAAGCCTGAGACCGAGGTCAAGGATAAACTGTAAGCGTGTAAAGGATGACTCTCATTCAGTTTAGCCTTGGCCTTAATGAGCCCAGAGTGAACTTATGTAACAACTCTGTCACACTCCACTCTATCATTAGTAGTGAGTCATGTGCTAAGTGAGGCAAAGTAACATAGCTGGTTTGGTGTTGTGTAAGATGTGCTTATTTCTCCCAGATTTGGAGTTGGAATGGCTTTCAACGAGCCAAAAACATTTACTTTTTCTGATCCCATGGGGGCAAAACTGTTTTTGGCCACTCCCGGCTTTAAGGTATTAGTTATTACCAAGTAGTAAACTTAAAGGTGGATGGAAACTCAATCTTGAGAAAATAAAGCTAATATGCTTATATAATATTTAGTTATTTCTTCCGTTTCCCAAGTAGGAACAATAAATCAGTGACAGGCTTGAGTGTGGAAAAATGGAAATAGTAAAATGGAGGATACACTTAACCAACCACAAGTCCATTTGTGTATTTACATTGTGTGGATATGTTTATAAACCTAGGCTTGTGATGCTTTATCTTTCCAGCATAACATAGCATGTAATTTCACACAACTTATTGCATAACCACTTCAGATTTTGCTTTACAATGCACTTTTATTGCCATGTCAAGATAGCAGTCAGCTAATTCTAGTTTGATACAGAATTTATTTTTACAGGTTTTCTTATATGAAGTGTTTTAAATTAGGATTTTTCTCATGCTTACTATCTTGGTGCCCTTACTGTGCATTAAAGTACTCCTATGATGATTTTCTCTGAGAGCTAAAGGACCTCCTGTTGTTGCATTTTGTAAGTGTTTTTTTTTTCTATTTTGCTGCCTGCATTTCCTGTCCTCACACTATTGTAATTCTACTTACTGCACTTTGTAAGCTTGTTTCCCATAATTTTATTGTATGCTTGACATTTTCTTATAGCCAGTTCCTTTAAACTTCATCATTGCTTCATTTAAATTGAAATTGAAAAACATTGCAACTGCATTAAAGATTTAGCCCCCTAGTCCCCTTTTATTCTGGCTTGACTGTCTTTACCCATTTATATCTTTTCATTTATTTTTTTATTATCATTATTACTATTATTATTATTATTATTATTATTATATTACATCATACTGCTGAATTTTTTCATTTCAGTGGTGGTAGTAGGGAATATTTCTCCCATGAGAAATTTTTAGATATAGTTTTAAAGAAAGTGCAATGAATTCTTAATTGTATATATTATTTGGAAAGCAGTGCTAACACATGTTCTGGAAAGATATATGTTAAAAATGAATACTTCTTAGTACCCCTGCATCATTTAAAAAATGTTGGTGTACATACATTGTTAGAAGTACATTTATTTTCTAAGGGAGGAATGACTGCATACTTCAATATAATTTTATGAAAGTTTCAATATTTTTCCCCCACTTTGGTGCAGGTAATGGAAAGGGCTCAAGATGAGTTATCACAGAGGGAGTAGTTAAGGCAAAGTAATCTACAAATGGACAAGAAGCTCATAACTTACTGATTGATGTTTCCGTCTCACTGTGCTCAGATTATTAAAAATGTACATTTAAAGGAATAGTAATGACTTTAAGTGAAATCTACTTCAAATAACTAAAATTTAGAACTGGAATGTTCTTTTTAAATCTAATATAACCCTTTTGTTGTACAAATAAGTACAGTAATACCTTGGTTTGCGAACATAATTCGTTCCAGAAACAAACTACTCATATTGCAAGACATCGCTCATTTACCAAGTTGAAATGTATTAGAAATGTTTGCTAGTCTTGCAAAACACTCGTAAAACAAGTTACTCACAATCCAAGGTTTTACTGTATATTAAAGCCTGGAAAAATGAAGCTGAAATGCTAAACTTAGTTGTAGGTACCTAAATTTCTGGTTCTTTGATAAGTAGTTGATTTTTCTCCTGTAATACATGTTCAGTTTCTTTTACAACATTGGTAGATAGATAGACAGACAGAAAGGTAGGTGGGTGAGTAAGTAGATAGATATTTTTTATTAGTAGGCCCATCTGTGTATAGTTTTAGAATATCAAATTCCTCTAAGTCATGACTTAGCTTAAAATTCTTATGGAAGGGTTTTTATTAAGTTTAACATCTATAAGATAGATCCAGTAGGTGAAAGGCACTGTTCTGTTTTCCGAAAGTGAGTAGTGCTATGTAGGAAATACATAGGATGAGGTCATGTTTAGAAAGTGATGAGGTGGGAAGTTGGGTACTAGTTGAAACCAAGTAGTCAGGTAAAGCATCTTTGAGGAGATGATATTTGAAATCTGTAAGCTTAAGCCAGCTTTTTGAAGAGCCAGGTAAGAATACTTCAGAGTAAAGAAACAGTAAGTTCAAAGGTTACAGGTGAGACCAAGCTTATGTTCATAGCAGAAAAGGAGGCTAATATGACTGCAGTCTATTGAACCAGAAGGGGATGTATGAGGAGAGGAGATTGGAGAGGAGGCAGAGGTGGAGCCCATGGGGCTTAGTTGACCAAGCTGAGTTTGCATTTTGTTCTGAGAGCAGTGGAAGGCACCATGTGAGCAGACAGGGTTAGAGAAAGACCAGAGTACAACAGCAAAGGGCACTAACTCTGTTGCTGTGTTTTAGGTCAGAAATGATGGTGGCTTGGACTAAGGAGTGGCTGTGGGGATATAAATATTTATATTGAAATTATCCATTTACCTTCTTTAGAAAATTGGGAGATAATTAAAGAGAGGAAGGCCCTGTTTTCCTTTTTGCGGTATCATTCTGTAGTGGATTGCCATACTCACAGTTGTGTGCAGTATGTGTTTGGTTGAGCTCAGTTAGGAATAGTCTCCATTTTATTATTATTTTAAATTTTATTAAATATATTGGGAAAACACTGGCTAATAATATTATATAGATTTCAAGTGTACAGCTCTATAATATATCACCCGTATATCGCAAGGTTTACTTCATGGCTTAGCTGGTCGAAGCACAATTCTAAAAGTCTCCATTTTAGAATCAGATGTAGGTTCCAAATTGACAGAAAGATCGTTCTGTTAGAATTTTTATTACTCCTTGTACAAGATGCATACTATGATTCTCATATCAGTTCTTCAACTTACTGTTTATGGATATTCTTAGACTACTTATACCCATAGATTGAACAAACAATAACATGTCTTCAGCCTGAAAATAAATGTTTAAATGAAATATGCATGTTGTTTAGAGTCCTTTTTTAAATGCTCTTGCAAATGTCCATGAAAATGCAAAGTGGATGAGTTTTGTTCTATTGAAACTTCACTCTCCTGGGTAATTTTATAGGCTTTTGATGTTCTTGTTAATGATACACATGACTTGGAAAATACCATCCAGTGGGGACAAGACAGAAGGAATTATGGGAACTGATATTGTCTACAGTGGCAATCAGAAGGCAGTATTTAAAAGCACTATCAGTTATTTGTGTTTCAAATCCACTAGTTTTATGTCTGGGGGAAGGGATTGCATTGCAGATGGCCCTTTTTGCTTCTGGTTGGCTTGCAAGAAAGAAAGACAAGCAAGCTTATAAAACTGGTTCAGTAAATTGGTGAAATGGCGGGCTCTGTGGTACCTGGAGTCTTTGGGATTAAGATTCTTCATCTGTAAAGTAAAAGGGTTGATGTGGGCTTTCAAAATGTTTTCCAATACTCAGATTTCATGTGGTTTCTAATATATACTCAATTCCTCATTGATCTTTCATCAGAAAGCTTAAGGAATGTGCAGAAAATAGGCTTCAACTATGGTATATCAGTAATAGTATAATGTTGTACTTATATGTCATCAAGCTTACAGTGTATTCCGATGTCTATAAGAAACAAATCATGTGAAGTCTTTATGGAATTTAGTTTATAAATGTCAAAGGTAAGAATTTGATGCCTTGGTGTCTCGCGTAGGCCTGTAATTCAAGGGGCTCTCCATGGATTTTCCCTGCAGCTCCAAAAGGAAGCTTCTGCGAAAAGAAGGAAAGTCAAGACATGAAAAGAATATATTATAATAGACTTCTTTATGCACATAGCAGTAAATTTAATGTAGATTAAAACAACTTAAATCTGTACACATTTGTGATAAGGTACCAATTATGTATAAATCTAAACAAATGGGAATTCATTAGATATTAAAGACAAAAGCATAAAAAGTTAAAAAGGAGCAGATTATGATAAATACTCTTAAGAAGAAGTGATCTTGGGCCGGCCGAGTGGCTCAGTTGGTTTTGAGCTCTGAGCAACAGCGGTTCGAGTCCCAGCCCGAGCTAAGCAGCCACTGAGCTGCCAACAGGTAGCAGGATGGCTCAGCTAAAAAAAAAAAAAAAAAAAAAAAGAAGAAGAAGTGATTTTATATGTAGACCTGGAACGTAGTTTTCTTTTCCCATTTCCCTCTTACTCATGTATTTCTAAGAGTAAAGCAAGCCTCGTTTTATTCATTATTGACGTTCTCTCTGGGGGATGTTCATTTCCAAGGATTCAGCTATCTAGTGATGAGGCCTGAAACTTTTCCTCCAGGTCAATATTTATTAATCACTATG